GATTTTAGCCTTTTTTTAAATAATTTTTCTTCACTTTTTTTTTTTATTATAATTTTTTGTGGGCTGGGCTGAGCTGGGTTGGGTATCAAATTCAAGGCCCAATTTCACTTGTGCAGGCATGTCTAGGATTTGGGCTTTATTTGTGTAACGGCGAATGAGCTTGGGCCTGGTTTGGTTTCAAGTTCAAGGTCTAATTCTAGGCTCTGTCTAATTTGGGCGGGCCTGTCTAGGATTTGGTCTTTATTTGAGTAAAATCCCAATGAGCTTGGCCAGGTTGGGTTTTAAATTCATGGCCTAGTCTCACTTGGGCTGCCCAGTCTAGAATTTGGGCTTTGTTTAGATAAAAGCCCAATGAGCTTGGGCTGGGTTGGGTTTCAATTTCAAGGCCCAATTCTAGCCATAAGTCTCATTTCAACTGATGTGTCCAGGATTTGGGCTTGGTTTAGGTAAAAGCCCAATGAGGTTGGGTTGGGTTGGGTTTCAATTTCAAGGCCCAATTCTATGCTTGGACTCATTTCAACTGATAGGATTTGGGCTTGGTTTAGGTAAAAGGCCCAATGAGCTTGGGTCGGACTGAGTTTCAAATTTAAGGCCCAATTCCAAACCCATTCTCATTTGGGCTGACTCGTTTAGGATTTGAGCCTTGTTTAGGTAAAAGCCCAACAAGTTTGGGCTGGACTGGGTTTCAAGGGCAAAAACTGAATGCTATTCTCTTTGATCTTTCTCAAAATTTTAAAATTATGCCTTTGAGATTCATTACAATAAGAAAACAAATATATATTCTTTGTTTCCATTTATGTATACCCCGCAGCTTGTGAATCTAACATGGTTATTATTTTTGTTGCACAGGTCGCTGGCTGGTTCGGGCTCTGCTTCCATGAAAGTTTTACGCTCTGTTATGTAAGATACTAGCCAACACGGTACTGATAAAACTGCCGGAACTCTAGTTCATCAAGCCGAGGCTCGTATATCAGTGAGAGCTCTCGACCCTCAACCTTAATGGTTCTTTTTAACGAAAAAAATATGATTTATTATTTGTTTGTTTCTTATTTAGCTTCCTGGGACTTCACCTAAGCTGAAAGCTATAGAGATTGCAGCAGCCTACAATTCCCTGTCTGTTGGAATGGGTTATTTTGGAAGCTCTATGGAGCGGCCTAAGGTATTATAATATGTTTTAAGTAATATTTCAAAGCCTAGCATATGAATTTTCTTCTTTAATTGATATATTTAGATCAAATTTTAAGATCACATTGAGTTCAGTTGATCTCTGCAGATGACATTTAATGATGAATCATTTCATTGAGAGTAAACTAATACATTGTGTATTAATTAGGTGTGAAATGTTCGTTAACATTTGTTATATTTAATAATTTCTTGTTTTATAATTGTACAAATATTTTATATAAGAGCATATCATAAACTGACTACAAGAGATTGGCATTTCGTATTTAAATTGTTCATTTTTGTATCAGTCATAATTGTAATGGTGACATATAACAGTTTGTAGTTTGTCCTGTTCGGTTCTTCCTTTTTTGGCCTTTTTGTGTCCATATCATGTTATATTATGTTGGTTTACATTTATCTATTTTTTTGCTGATTACATGAAACGAGCAAGCATGCTGCAATTCAAACCTAATTATGTGTTTAATTTTTTACTTAATAATGTGTTTAATTTTTACTTATACGAAACTTATTTGTTTTATTCATTTATTTTTATGCAGGTCTCAATTCTTAGGACTACAAAACAGCAAAATAGGACCGACATCAACCAGTTTGCCGCACGAATTGGTGTGAAGGTAAAGGATAAAATATTGTGCGCGCTAAGATTTTGATAAGAAATTTAAAATTTGAAAGTAAATCAAACTGATTTATTTATTTTCTTCTTTCAAGTGAGTCATCATGTTTCAAATGGTTATTAAGGCAAACCTAAAACCCGAAAGGGGTTCATTTTTGCTCATGGGAGAGATCAACGCAATTATTTTATTGTCCATTCTTCTGCAGCATGATAATGGGCTTGTTTGGTGTAAAAAGTTAAAAATGTGTGAAGCCTCTTTCATTGGGCTGCGGGCCAAAACCTTAAGCCTAGGTGAGCTCGCATGGTGGACTGCTGAGTGGGCCAAAATAGGCTCCCTCTATGGGCTCGTGGCTTGGCCTCCATGCTTAGCCCAAGATTTTAGCCTTTTTTTAAATAATTTTTCTTCCTTTTTTTTTTATTATAATTTTTTGTGGGCTGGGCTGAGTTGGGTTGGGTTTCAAATTCAAGGCCCAATCTCACTTGTGCAGGCATGTCTAGGATTTGGGCTTTATTTGTGTAACGGCGAATGAGCTTGGGCCTGGTTTGGTTTCAAGTTCAAGGTCTAATTCTAGGCTCTGTCTAATTTGGGCGGGCCTGTCTAGGATTTGGTCTTTATTTGAGTAAAATCCCAATGAGCTTGGCCAGGTTGGGTTTTAAATTCATGGCCTAGTCTCACTTGGGCTGGCCAGTCTAGAATTTGGGCTTTGTTTAGATAAAAGCCCAATGAGCTTGGGCTGAGTTGGGTTTCAATTTCAAGGCCCAATTCTAGCCCTAAGTCTCATTTCAACTGATGTGTCCAGGATTTGGGCTTGGTTTAGGTAAAAGCCCAATGAGGTTGGGTCGGACTGAGTTTCAAATTTAAGACCCAATTCCAAACCCATTCTCATTTGGGCTGACTCGTTTAGGATTTGAGCCTTGTTTGGGTAAAAGCCCAACAAGTTTGGGCTGGACTGGGTTTCAAAAGGGCAAAAAATTGTATGCTATTCTCTTTGATCTTTCTCAAAATTTTAAAATTATGCCTTTGAGATTCATTACAATAAGAAAATAAATATGAGCAAATTTTTATCACAGTTTTTATAGTTTGGCTTTATTGTCATTTCGACCTTTGTAATTTTAATTAATTCAATTTTAATCTTAAATTTTTTATTGTCACAATTTAATTTAATTGACCGTAATCATTAATTTTTTTTTTTTTTAAAGGGCAAATTACACAAACAATCTCTATAGTTTGGAGTTTGTGTCACTTTGATCCTTGAGTTTTTAATTGTGACACATTTGACTCTGAATTTTGAATCTTGTTCCAAATAAGGACAATTGAATATATAATTAGATTTTTAAGGGTAAAATTGTCAATTTGATAAAATATAATCTAATTTGACAAAAATAAATGTCAAACAAATATTTTTGAATTTTTAAAACTATTTCTACCTACTAAAAATAAAATTATATAAAATTGATAAATCTTTTAGACATTTATTTATTTTTTTTTATCAAATTAATTTTTATTATGTATTTAGATGATGATCATGTAAAATGAATTTAAAAAAATTAATCATGTAATTTTTATTAATTTTACATAATTTTATCATTGGTGGATAAAAATAATTTTAAAAAAATTAAAAATATTTTTTTGACTTTTATTTTTGTCAAATTAATTTATATTTTATCAAATTGACGATTTTACTCTTGAAAAATCTAAAAATATTTTTAATTTTCCTTATTTGGAACAAGATTCAAAATTCAAGGTTAAATGTGTCACAATTGAAAAGTTAGGGATCAAAGTGACACAAGTCACAAACTATAGGGACTATTAGTGTAATTAACTCTTTTTTAAATTATGAGAAGTGCGCACATAAGTAGCATGAGTTATGGTTTCAGGAACAAAATTATAAATTTTCTTAACTAAGTGAGTCAATCTCTATCATCTCATTAAGGATTTACTTCAAAAACACTAATTAACGTTATTAATTCAATCAAAATAGTGCAAAATTTAAAATTAAAATCAAAATTAAATCAATTAAAAATGTGAGAATCAAAATGATATATTAGTCAAAATACAAAATTACCAATTTAATTTATCCAATAAACATAACCACTTTTCCTACCTTGATTCCAGGGAAAATCCAAGGCTGCCCGTTGGCAAGATATCAGCTTGCAACCCAAGACAAGAAAATAAAACAAACAACAAAATCAAAGCAAGGCCAAAAAATAAAAATAAAAAACTACGGTACAAAAGAATTTTGTTTTTATGATTGTTAGGCCAATATTCACAAATATAATAATAATAAAAAATTTAGTTCTCGATCTAGATTGAAAAGTGTTGTTTAGACACATGAAGTTTGCTACGAGTTTCATTCTGATAATCTAAACCGATCATTTTATATTTTAAATTTCCCATTATTTAGTGTTTTTAGACTACCACTCTACATTATTCATGTAAGAATATTCGTCCAAAAGGGAGAAAAAATTTAATTAAACTATAAATTAAATTATTAGTTTCTGTAATTTAAGTAAATTGTCATTCTAGTCATTGTATTTTTAATTTGAACATTTTAGTCTTTACATTTTAAATTTTGTTATAAGATGGTCTCTTTGTCAAATGTTGTTAACAATTGAAACATAAAAAATTAGTGCAAAATTAGAAGGACCAAAATAAAATTTAAAACAAATTATAGGGACTAACGATATTCAACAATAGTAACAAAAAAATCACATTCAAAAAAATCAAATTCCAACAAAATTGAAAACGTATAAACCAAATCCCAAAACTATATTGTTGGTTAAAGATGGGAAAACTTCTAAGCCACCCTCTACCAACTGAGAAAAATCATGATGGAGATATAGATTCATTTAAAAACATATTAACAAACGTGATTGGGTTCTTCTACTATCAATATTATATTTGGGTTCTTTTATTTTTATTTTTTTAATTTATATGTTGTTTTCGCAGAGAGACAGGAGAACGTGATTGGGTTCTTTTACTAACAATATTATATTTGGGTTCTTTTATTTTTATTTTTTAATTTATATGTTGTTTTCACAGAGAGACGGGAGAACGTGATTGGGTTCTTCTACTAACAATATTATATTTGGGTACTTTTATTTTTATTTTTTAATTTATATGCTGTTTTCGCAGAGAGACCGGAGGCCAATGAAAGGAGACTCCATTTTTGTCTTATTCTCAGCACTCAATTTCTTCTTCTCATCACAAAAATATAGCCATTTTTGAGACTGCAAAAGCATTTTTTTCACTGAAAAAAAGTCAACCACCTCTTTGCTTTGCTTCGCTTCTGATCTGTTGGTTTTTTCTTTTCCTTCTGTAATCGGAAACAATGCCTATAGCAGAGATCTTTCTCTCTGGCTTCGTCAAATTGCTGTTTCAGAAGATGACCTCTTTTGCCTCCTCCAAATTACCAACCTTTGAAGGTATTGGTGCCCAGCTGACCAATTGGACCAATATGCTGTCTCAAATTGAAGCTCTTCTGATTGACGCCGAGGACAAGCAACTGACTGATCGAGCCGTGAACCTGTGGCTCGATGATCTCCAGGATCTGGCATATGATTTGGATGATTTAGTGGATGAGTTCGCCACCGAAGCTTTGCGACACAAGCTCAAGGCAAAGCCGTCCCAAGCTAGTTCCAGCAAGGTATGGAACCTCATCCCTAATTTCAAGCCGACAGATGTTATCTTTAATTTCAAAATGAAGTCCAAGATTGAGGAGATTAATACTAGATTGCACAATAGTTTTGAACAATGTTCGAAACTTAATTTGGTTAAGACTGTTGGACCCACCACACCCACGAAGACTTGGCAAAGACCAGACTCTACATCTATAATTGATGAGCCTCGTGTTTACGGCCGAGAACACGATCAGAGTAAGTATTGATGCAAATCCAAATTTGGTGTCAATAGGTAAGGAAATTGTGGAGAAATGCAAAGGTTTGCCCCTGGCTGCTAAGACACTCGGTGCCCTTCTACGTTGCAAAGAACGAGATGAGGAATGGGTAGATGTATTGTGTAATAAAATATGGGATTTATCACACGAAGAAAGTGACATCCTTCTAGCTTTGAGATTAAGTTACCATCATCTCCCTTCGCATTTGAAGCAGTGTTTTGCATACTGCTCAATAATACCCAAGGACTATGAATTTGAGGAAGAGGAGATAGTCTTGTTGTGGATGGCAGAGGGTTTCATTCTGCAAAAAAGAGAGAAACAAATGGAAGATGTAGGAGGTGATTACTTTCGGGAATTGTTGTCTAGGTCTTTTTTCCAACCATCAAGTACCGGTAAAAGCTCTAAATTTGTGATGCATGACCTCATCAATGATTTGGCTCAAGTAGTTGCAAGAGAAACTTGTTTTAGATTGGAGGATAGATTGAAATATCCGGAGCAGTGCAAGAATATAAAGAAAGCTCGACATTCATCTTACATGCAGGAGTACCATGAGGGTATGAAAAAATTTGAGATCTTTGATGAAGCCACGCATTTACGGACCTTCTTACCACTTTCCTTAAAATCTAATTCATATTTTTTTTTGGCAAGCAATGTTCCCCGTAATCTATTGCCGAAGTTAAGACGCTTGAGGGTGCTCAATATGAGTAGCTATGTCATCATAGAACTTCCAAATTCGGTTGGAGATTTGAAACATTTGCGGTATCTTAACCTATCCCACACCTCCATTGAAGAATTACCTGAATCAGTAGGCTCTCTCTACAATCTACAAACATTGATGCTAAGAGAATGTGGAGAACTGAAAAAGTTGCCAACAGACTTGGGAAACCTAATTGATCTACGTCATCTCGATACTACAAATGCACATTCCTTAGAAGAAATGCCACTGGGAATAGGTAAGTTGGTTAGTCTTCAAACACTATCCAATTTTATTGTTACTAAAAACAGTGGCCATCAGTTAAGAGAGTTGGGGAATTTCATTTATCTTCGGGGGAAGCTTTGCCTATCTGGGTTACAGAACGTGGTGGTTCCATTAGATGCAAGGGAGGCGAATTTAAATGATAAGAAGGGGTTATATGTGTTATCAATGGAATGGAGTGTTAACTCAGATGATTCACAAGATAGAAGAGTTGAAACAGAAGTGCTTGACAAGCTACAACCTCACAAGAATTTAAAAGAGCTCCATATCAAAGGCTACCTTGGTACAAGATTTCCAACTTGGATAGGAGATTCTCTGTTCTCCAATATGGTTGACGTAAGTTTAGATAATTGTGGAAATTGTGCATCCTTGCCACCACTTGGACAACTACCCTCCCTCAAAAAGCTTTACATTAAAGGAATGAGTGTACTAAAGCATGTCGGTCGTGAGTTTTATGGGCAGGGTGGTGCCAAACCTTTTCAATTACTGCAGACTCTGAGCTTTGAGGATATGCCAGAATGGGAGTACTGGTATACTTTTGAAGATGATAAGGAAGTTCAACCATTTACTCATGTTAGTGAGCTCTCCATTGAAAATTGTCCTAAGCTTGTTGGAATGTTGCCAAGTGATCTGCCTTGTTTGAATAATCTAAAGATTAGGGACTGCCCCAAACTCTGCGGGATGATGCCCAAGGATCTACGTTGTTTGAATAATCTACAGATTTCAGAGTGCCCACAATTCCTAGTCGAAGGTTCCAGCATTAGCCTCCCGTCACTCACCTCGATAGCTATGATTGACGTTCCTCTAACAAGCCTTGAAGCGGTCCTTGAGATGAGGAGTATGGTTGATGATGAAGTGATATCGGCAAATGCAAAGTCTAAGCATCCGAGTTCAATAACTGCCTTGAGCATTGGGATGATTAAGAAACTCGAGCTCTTGCCGAAATGGGTTACTCATGGGCTGATGGAAGTCGAGGAATTGAACATTAGAAGGTGTGAAGAACTCAAGACACTGTGGAAGAATGAGGCGAGACTGCAACACAGCCTCCCTGCATTCCGACGTTTGAGAATTGAAGACTGCCCCCAGCTTGTTTCGTTGTTTGAAGAAGAATGGGTTACTCATGGGCTGATGCAAGTCGAGGAATTGAACATTAGAAGGTGTAAAGAACTCAAGACACTCTGGAAGAATGAAGCGAGAGTGCAACACAGCCTCCCTGCATTCCGACGTTTGGAAATTGAAGACTGCCCCCAGCTAGTTTCATTGTTTGAAGAAGATGAGGATGAAGAAAATGATGGGCAACATCAGCAACAACAACAAGAGGGACTCCCTAGCATAGTGAGGCTTGAGCATCTAACAATAATTAATTGTGAAAAGGTGCTGGATAAACTGCCACGGCTGCTACATACCTTCACTTTTCTTCGAGAGTTGTATGTCTCTATGTGTCCAAGTCTCGGCTCTTTTCCGGAGACAGGTTTTCCCAGCACGCTGAAAAATCTTGAGATACGTGATTGTGAGGCTCTGCAATCCTTATTCGGGTGGATAACGCAGATTAATGACAATAATCTTGAAGTGTTACAGGTTTGGAGTTGTCCATCCCTCACATGCTTGATATCGTGCAGAGGTGGGGGGCTACCACCCACACTCAAAAGCCTTGATATTGGGGGGTGTGAAAAGTTGGAGGCACTGCTAGTAGAAGAGGGGATGGAAATTAACTGTCCATCTCTTGAGTCTGTTTGGATCATTGATTGTGATGGGCTCAAATACTTGCCAGATGCCCTTCCTAATAATAATAATCTCAGGAATCTCAGTCAATTGATCTTGTATGGGTGTAAGAATTTGGAGTGCATTCCGGAAGGATGGTTCCACTCCACAACAAATCTGACAAAATTGAATATCAGGGGATGCAAAAAACTGAAGGCCCTACCACACGGATTGCAGAGCATCAACTACCTCACTTCTCTTGAAGAGCTGGAGATGGATATTTCACAATGGAACAACAACTTCAAGAAGATTGGTTTGCACAGTTTATCCTCTCTTAAAGAGCTAACGTTGATTGAAGGCAAAGAAGAAGAACATCCGGTGGGTTCCAGCTTTCCGATAGATGGGAAGTTGCTGCCCACCTCTCTGATATTTCTTCACATGGAGGGTTTCCGAAATCTGGAGAAACTATCTTCTAAGTTGTTTCAAAACCTCGCCTCTCTTGAACAACTTTGGATCAGGGATTGCCCTAGGCTCAAATCTTTACCAGTGCAAAGGCTGCCTCCCTCACTTAATGAATTGTGGATTGAGGGTTGTCCGAGACTAACAGGGAAGTGTGAAAAGGGGAAAGGCAAATATTGGCCCCACTTAGCTCACATTCCTGAAGTCTGCGTTGATTATTCTTACTGAGTTCTAAACCGTGTGGAGATTCCCACCCCAATACAAGCAGTCAAATTGCCAGGTATCAAAAACAGAAACTAATTTGATAAATATAAATATTTGAAAAATATTTTCAGATTTTAAAAATTAAATATTTTTTCAAAAATAGAAAATCATATGAAAAACCATAACTGTTTTTACTTATAGATTTTCAAATTTTTTTTGAACAAGGGATCCCTGAAGTATGCAGTACATTATATTTTCAAGTTAATCGCGTTTTTTTGGATGAGGAAGTTATTTGCAAATTCATATAAAAATTTAAAACAAAATGAATTTGTATTTTGAATTAATAAAAAATATTTTTGAAAATAATAAAAAAAATATGTTAAGTTTAAATTCAAAGGACCATTATGGAATAAATAAATAATTTTAAAAATTTTGTTTGGTTTTGGAGTTTTCAAAAATAGTTTTAAAATTTTTAATTCGTATTTTTTTAATATATTGGCTAATTTGTTTTTTTTTTATTTTTATTTTTTAGATGCATCTAATCTACGTATACTTAAAATTTTTGAAAAAATTAAAAAATTCTTTAAAAATTTTAATAAATACAAAATAAATACGAAAATGTATTAAATATTTAGTGATTTTTTAAAAGATTTTTTTCGTAAATTTTATATGTTTTAGGTGTATTTAGATTGAATAGATCTAACAACTTAAAAAATTAATAAATATTGATTAAAATACTTAAAAAGTTCACTGAAAACAATAAAATATGGATTGAAACTTAAAAACTATTTTTGAAAAAGCCAAAACCAAACAAAGTTTTAAAAATTATTTCAATTTCTAAAAACTAAATGAGTTTTGAATTTTCAAATTTCTAAAAAATATTTTTAGAATATACAACCAAACAAATTTTTAGAAAATTATCTTTCAAAATTGATTGTGAAAACCAAACCTTAGTTTTTTGGGTTTTCTGTGCTAGTCATTAATAAATTATTTTTGTATTTGTTAAGTTGTTGCCTGTCTAGTGACTAGGGAAAAGTTAGATCGAACATGATTAAGCTGATACAAATTCTTGTTGAAGGGGGAATTTTTTGGCCGGTCAAATGAGGGTAATGTTAAAAAAAAGAAAAGAAAAGGAAAGAGAATGAAATGCTGTGAAATTATGTAAGTAGTTTGCAAATGCTTAGAAAAATTAAACAATTTTTTTGTTGTTGGAAGAGCAAACTTAAAAGGTTACAGACAAATATACACATATCGGGTGTCCAAATTTCATTTTGGTGAGCTATTCTAATGAATATGGAAATTGATAACAATTTTAATTGTATACTTGGAGTTGTTACATTTTTTTTATGAAAAGAATTCATAGTATTAAGTTTTATCAATCTATAAGGGATTATTTGATACAGATATGTGCTTTCAAGGATTTGAATACAAAGAGAGGCTTATTCCGATAGATTTCCTCGTCTGCTTTTATTTCCCGAGGGAACCACAACAAATGGAAGAGTTCTCATTTCTTTCCAACTTGGTGCATTTGTCCTTGGATATCCTGTCCATCTAGTGATTTTTCGCTATCCCCATGTACACTGTGACCAATCCTGGTAAGAATTTTCTTTAGTTGAAACCGTTTTGGTGTTGTCTTTTGTAATATCTTTACTTTTGTAATATCTTTACCTATGGCCTATCATTTTCTTTAGGGGAAATATAGCTTTGGGAAAGCTCATGTTTAGAATGTTCAGAGTTTCACAATTTCATAGATGTATGTTGAGTGATTTTTTATTTTTCTATAGTTGCATATACTAAAAATGTAGTGAGTTTGGCTTCCCCCGCTATTTTTGTTTATAAAATTTTTAGGTAGTATGGTGTGTGAAGTGGCAATCCATATATATAAGTTGTCATAGTGATGCCCCAATTTGCTATTTTTCTTTTGATAACTAACTCACTCTCGCAAATCATTAATACTGATTATTCATCAACTTAAATGTATATGCATTTATATGATGTGTCCCTGACTATATGATAATTAGAATTTTGGTTACTGAATAACTTGTATGTTGTAAAAAGTTGAAGCCATTTATTAAATTGTACAAGTAGAGTATCTTCCTATTATTTTACCCCTTGAAAATCAGTAGGAAAATGTTCCCATTTTGCTCAGAGGGTGAGTCGACATTATTTGATTAATCTTTGTTGCCTTGTTGGCTTTAGTTGATATTTTAATATTAATTATATTCTTATACATCAAAGTTTTTAATGGGCACATTACATACAATTTGTTAATTTTTTGTATATTGTTAACATGTTCTGTATTTCGTATGCTTAATCTCCTAAGCAATTCAGAACCAGTGGATGTTTAACACACCTTAAATATTGTAATTGAATTTGTGTGATGTTATGTCTACTGCATTTGTGTGTGGAAGCCTATCCTTTTTTTCGCATCTGTGCACAAAGAATTAGCCAATTGATGATTCCTGGTCTTTGGATTTCAAGTAATATTATATATATACAAGGATCAAAATTTCGTTTCCGTGTGTTGTTTCAAATAGTACAAAAACAAAAACATCTTAGAAATATTTTATGAAATGAAGATAAAATAGAAATGTTTGAAAATATAAATTGAAATATATCTAAATGTATAAAAGCTAATAATTGATTATAGTCATTCACGTATAAGAATTTAAAAACTAATGTCACTATGAACTAAAACATTATTAAGCATTGTCAAATAACTCAATTTTATTAAACAAAAAATTCCAATAAGGTCTGAAAATTTACTTAAACAATAGCAATAAATGTTTATGAAAATTTCTAACTTTGTATAGATACAATTTATTCTTTCGGTATATCACACTATGTTTTGGTGTGTTTCACTATGTTTTGATGTGTTTCAATGAAAAAACTAGAATTTTATTATTCCACTAGTGTTTCGTTTCGGCCTCTTTTGAAATGGAAACACTTTGGCCATTTCAATGGAAACAAATGAAAATTTTGTTCCTCATATATATTAAAGATAAATCCATGTCAAAAAGTTTTCATTCATGTGTTGTTTATGTTTTTCATGTTATTTGGTTCCAAACAAATGGCATATGGTACCTATTAAAATTGGGTTTAACTGCACATGCAACAACCCTCATGTCTTCTGTGTGCATTATGTTAACTTATTACAATTGGAGGAATAGTTTCCTATTGTCCATCTTTAATTTGGGAAATTTTTCCCTTTTGTATTCTTTTAGTAGCTGTTGGTGTATTGCCATGATTCTTAGGGGCAGAGCCATGTATAACAAAGTTCCCACTGGAAATTTGAAAATCTAAAAATATATACACTCCACATGTTCACAAAATATCTACCTAACTAACTCTGTTACAACAAGTTGAACTAACACTTGACTTGTTTGGTTTGCAGAACAACATATCTCTAGTCTGGTCTTGGATTGAATCCTGGATTGCTGAGTCTTGCTTGGTTACACTAACTGTACAAACATCTCATTCGTATTGGGGCATCATGCTGCTTGCAAAAACTTCCGAGTCCAAACAAGTCACTTTTCGTGCTCCATGTGTTTTGGCTTTTATAGTTTATCTTGCTTTTAGGTCGGCATAAATGATCTTGTACTTCATTCAAACATTCTATGAAGTGCTAGATTTCAGCTCTTAAACTTAATTTGATGGCCTTTTTTGCTATGGACCAAGAATAGTTGATGCAGCTGCAATGATGGAATTTACATTGTCTCCTTGGGATCTCATCATGTATTAGGTGTAGGCCTTGAAGCACACCATTTAATGCTTATACTTCCTGTCTTCCAAAATAAATTACTTCAACTCTCTTTCACATGCATTACTAAAAATATTTTAGTGTACTCTGGTTCGCCAAGTTTGATTTCTTTCAAATTGGGTTGATTCATAGAACTTAACTTTGTTCATTTAGCTCAACAATCTAAATATTGCAACCACCAAACAAAGTGTACTCAAGGCTCCAGCTGCTTGGTTCTTTTAGCGGTTGTAACCTTGAGGTATGGTGAATCTTGCTTAGACATGAGCTTTTTGTGTGGTTAATTTCTAACAGCCTTCATTTCTCCGTTGTATGTTTCCACTCTGATGGAAGAGTATTTTTTTTTTGTGCAAATATGCCTTGCTCCTTCCAGGGAGTATGTATGTTGTTTGGCAACATTGTGTTTGTTCATAGTGTTTATTGCCTAGTCTTAGAAAACTCTCCAGGAACTTTGCCGGATGCAACTTTAGCTTCATTGGTTTCTTTAATATTTTTTCATATTTACTTGGAAAACTTTTTGTAAATTTTTCATCTTGTCTGCTAACTTCTATACAAGGCCTTTTCTAATAAATGATAATGCTAAATTATTTAAAGAGTCATGCTAATGACAGCCCAATGGGCTGCCAATAAGGGGAAGAAAACGCCAAAAACTCTCAATGTATTTTTTACACATCCCAAAGCATTTTCACAAATTTGGACACACTTTTTACACGTCCCCTGGTACGATTGACAGCCCAAAGGCTGTCTTTAGCATTTTTCCCTATTTAAATTATGCAAATGTATTCCATGTCCAAGAGATATGCTGGAAGACTCGTAGGAATGATGGAAACAACCGTAGAATACCACATGTTTTATAAAATTAAGTTGCATCTCTCTCACTCTCTCTCTCTCTCTGTGGGGGAGTTTGAAGTCTTCTATGGAGTCCACCCTAATTTTTTTGTCATTTGTATGCTTTGCAGGAAAATCCCTCACTATATACTGTTGAAATGGCAAGGGTGGAATCAGTGAGTTTTTAACTGAATGATTTATATATGAATACTTTTGTTGTGTTATAATATGGTGAAAATACAGATAGATTCATATCTCTTCATTGTTGTATCTAATAGAACAGTTATTTGGAAGGTTTCCTTCTGTCACTTTTTTTAAGAAATCTAGATGTATTACTATGCTGAATATAAGGGTTTTTTTTTTTTTTAATACAAAAAATACTTCGTTATGTGCTTTTGCATAATAGGTGATATCATATCCTCAGTATCTTTTTGTCTTGTTTTTTTTTGGGGTGTGTGTGTGTGTATTTAAAATAAATGTATAACACATTTTAGAAAGAAAAAAACGAAGCATGCTTTTGTATCTTTTGGTTAAAATGATGAAAAATTGAAAACAAGCTTTATAGACTTGTAATTTACATATGCCTTTGAAGAAGAATTTTATGCTTTTGTATCTATTGGTTAAAATGATGAAAAATTGAAAATGAGCTTTATAGACTTGTAATTTACTTATGGCTTTCGAGAAGAATTTTTGGGTGCTTCGAATGCATGTTGTTGTGTGTTCCTATAGTCAAGAGCACTCTATCAAACTTGCCTATTTATTTTTTGTCCATGGCCCATTTTTGGCGTTTTATCATTTCAAAACGTTACTCACCTAAGGTTTTAGTTCAATTGTGAATTTTATTTTCCTCCCAAGGAAACCTTCGAGGAAATATATTTGAAAACCTTTTGAGATCATTAAATTTACGGTTTTGGAACAAAAATGTACCATGTTTCGGAACGTGTTTTCCAAAATCTAATTCATTTCGGTGTTAACGTTTTGTGGTAAAACTTTGGTTTTATGGATTTTGCAGAGAGCTTATTTCCATTGATTTTTTAATTGGGGTGCATTTTGCACATAGCGCATGCCTATTGTCTCTGTTGGTTTGCAATAAATTATCTTTGGTTTTTTTAAAATGCAGAGGAAGATTCAAGTAATTTGATTACCATCAATTATTCTAAATACATTGATCCTTCTCTAAACCAAATTTCTCTCTTTTTATTCAGTATTCTAGTTCATCATTAATGGATTACTCTCAATTTTATATTAATTGGTCAATTGGAAAGAAGATGAATTGGATTGTATCTCTCTTTTGCCAGACATTTGATTTAAGTAGTTCAGAAGGTGTGAACTTTCTAGATACATTTCTTTCCATGAATCCAAATTCCAAGTATGATGACAAGAAATTTTAATTTTAATGATATTTCTATAATACAATAATTGTCATGTATGATTTCATTTTCCTGTAAGGAGCTATTTATAATATTCTTCTGATCAAAATTGCTTGAGTTGTTCATCTGGAACTTCATGCCACGTTACCTACATGCAAGTCCCTAAATGTGATCAATTTTCCTTCGTTCTGTCGCATAAGATTATTGAACAAGGTATTTGTATCATGGATGAGTGATTTGCTTGTTTTTTTATTTTTTATTTTTTATTTTATCCTTCATTTCATGTGTTCTTTCTGTTCTGTTTCTTTTTCCTTTCTTTCGCTTGTAGATGTGATTTTTATTTGAGTTTATTAAAAAGTATATTTTCATTGAACTAAAGCTGCATTCATGCCAATGATGCAAATGAGGAATTTTTTGGTGGCTAAATCAAATTATTCTTGATATTTCATTATTTGATTTAAAAGCATATGTTATTGCTTCTTCCCATTTTTCTCAGATATATCAAATCCTTGGTAGGGTTATAATTAACGTTGATCATGTGTATTTCTGTGAATATATATTTTTGCCCTCATCAGTATGCGTGTATTAGTTGTGCACTGGATAATCCTGCTGTTGTACTAAAATTCATTAATCATTATCATATCAGGCTTTTCTTTTCTCTTTATTTTTTCTTTTACGCATAATTTTAAAACATGTGAGCTCAATTTTCTTCCAACAACTGGGTTTTGAAATTGACACTTTTTTTTTTTGGTATTGTGATTTGTGACTGTTATAACATACCGTAGTGCTTCACTAAATTGAAGATGTAGACCATGTGTATCTAAATATGCTTAATTCTGTCCTAGTTGCAACATGCAGCACTGAAATGCTTTCTTTTCTCTCTTGAGTTTGTCTAATTGCATTTAAGTTTGTGTTAATATCAATAGCGCTTAAGTTGGCGGTGATGCAAGAATTGTTTATCTCACTGTTTGCATCCTGCTCATAGCGGACAGGTTAGAATCCACGATTTCTTCAGGGTTCTGAGATTGAAGGCTTGTAATCTTTCTGAAAAGGTTAGTGACCAAGTATTTTTCACTTTTTATGTAACCTACTGGTCTTTAATATGAATATCTTGTTTGTGTCTCCATGCTTGAAAGGCCTCTTTTATGTATGCCATCTTTGTCTAGTTCTTTTTCGATTTCTGACATTTGAACTGCGAACTCATTTGTTACATATATATATATATATATATATTTTTAAAATTAATTTGCCATAGAGTGAAGGTCGATATACATTTGAACAATAAAATAGTCAAGACAGGCATGACAATTTTTAACAAGGATTTGTGTGTCAAATGCCGATACTTTTCACACTTCCGGAGTTGTGTAGAACACATTTTAAAGTTGTTCTTTATTCAAAAATTAAACTTCATGATTTATGACACTAGGGCAACATGTCCTCACATTGGCCAATACGTAACTCGCAAAACTTATTTGTTGTGTTACTGATTTCATCTAGTTTAGAGAAAAATTTTAATCATGAAGAAATATCAAGTCAAAGGTTTATACAAAAAATTTCAATTTGACCATATTTTCAAAGAGGATAAATTACCTATGAGGAGTGGGGTGTGGGAGGAGAGAGAAGTCATTATAGAAATCTGCACTTCTGTGCCAGACACAAATTCTGTTCTATTTGTGTCACGCCCTAAGCTCTGTGACAACGCCGCACACTCATTTAAGTGAGCATGCAAAGCTAAGAGTCCAACACATAACCAACAATGTAAAATACTCTAATTAAATCCTTAATTATCATAATGCTAAAATCCATAAAAATTGATTATTCTTATCATATGAAATTATCCACCAAGTCCACTAATAAAATCCATTAACAAAACAATAATCCAAGTACTTAAATCATAGTCCTACTCTTGGCACTCCCACATGTAAAAATCCCGCGCAGCTCTACTCTTCAGAATCTGAAAAAAAAAATAAGGGTAAGCTAGATAGCCCAGTAAATAACCAACCATAACTGCTAGCTGGATCAAGTATACAATAAATAAATAAATCGATAACCAATAAATATAATTTTTTCTACAATTCAATAAATGAACAATTATTTGTAAGATGGTTTCATAGCTAAAAATAAACAATGTACAATACATTTTAAATGAAAAGCCAACAAGATAATTCAAAGTAATTCGTTGTTCAAATCGATGGTTCGATATTCAAATGGTTTAATGATTTGATTCACAAAATCCAAGTCTTAATGACTACGGTCACTTAGCCTGTGACAAGGCCCAGAACCACACATAGGCCAGTGGTAAAGCCCCAAAAGAAACTAGTTTATGTGCCAATAAATAACCCCCATTGGCTAGGGTCCAAATCATAGTCAAACTAGAGTGATGTTCAAAATTCAAACAATACACAACTTTCAAATAAAATATTAGATATTTTCGGAATAAACATTTGGTACAATTTTCAGAATAGTTTCACAAAATATTCAAATAACTTCCATAATAATATTCGATGTTGTTTTATACTTGACCCATATTTTATTTTAAGAGAACATGAAAGCTATAAATAAATATTTATAATTTTAAACGATTCAATAGGAATAAAAATGAACCAACAGTGATAGAAAGTTACTTACCTCAAATAGCTAAAATGAAATTTCCCAAGCTAATCTCAAATTACCAAGATCCACCTCAATCTCACAAATCTAATAAAATATTACACCGCATAAACAATTATTATGTGCACCCATCTTTCTCTTCTTGTAACAACAATAGAATAAATTAACCCAATCGCCTATTAGGAACTCCCACAATTTAGCATCAAAACAAAGCCATCACGGCTTCGGAAATTCTCAACCCATATTATTCTATTGTTGTTTATATACATGTAAAAATTTGTAATTGCTTGTAATCAATCTTGTATCCCACAAACACACTACCATTAAACGTAACCTATCACATATTAATCTCAAATCTCAAAATATGAACCACCCAAACGGAATGCAAAATCCACTCTAAAATTGAGCAAAATTGAGAACCCCAATATAGACTACATCAATATAATTATTTAATCATATATGCCCATAAAATCATCTATTGATATATTAACACTAAAATCATAGATAGGAATACAATAAAAAATAAATCTTACCTAAGTGATGAATAAAGCAAAACCACCACTCTTATGAATCCTCCATCTTCCTTGGTTTTATAAATAATAATGCCATCTCATAATTAATTCCTTGATATTACCAAGTGACTCATAAATTAATTTAATTACTAATCTATCCAAAAATAATAATATACAAAACTTGGGTTTTACGATCTGTCTCTGTCATCATCAATGATTATATCAATATAATTCACTACTAGAAAGTTCAATTACAACTTAAACGATCCCATTACAGGGGTGAGGACACTCTAAATCCACATATTGCCCAATTAGAAGCAAATCAATTAGGAAATCGATTGATGATTGATTATTATCTGTGGATTGATATGACTACTTTCAGTATGTATACATAACCAAGTAGGACTAGTTCGGTTGACTAGAATTCTTGAATCGCTCATGTAGGTCAAGGGTTCTTGTCTTGCCATTGACAAGGTTCCCCTCCTCCCAAGGCTATGATTGCAAATGTCCAAAAATAAAAAATAAAATAAAATAAAGAAAGATATTACCACTTGGAACTTGCAGACTAGGGACCTTGACATTCCAAAGTTGTATAACAGAATGCTCTGCTCCTGATTAGATTCCAAAGCTGCAATGGCTTGTCACACTTGATTAAAACCTGTGTTAAGTATCAAATGAAAAAAAATACTAGAAGCATGTTTTTCCTTAATTTTTCTTATCAACCTATACAGAATTGAGTGCAGCAAGTATTGAATGATGTTCTCCAGGAACTTCGTACCAGTGACTGCAAGGTTATGACAATTATCATGGTCATTAATTCCTCTAATTTACTTGAACAAAATACTTAAGCATTAAGTTGCACGGATGATAGTTAATCAAAGGAGAAGGCAATATAAGTTACGACCATAGTATATTAGATTTGTGAATTATAAACTATGCGATTTGCTATGTAATAGTACTCTTATGGCATGTTTGATTGGAAGGATTAAAGCATGGGATTAGGATTATTAATCCGTGGGCCCAATCATCCTAAGTTTGTTTTGACATTTTGGTTTAGGATTATTAATCCAATGGATAATTAATCCAACAAATTTGTAGGATTATTAGTAATGGGGTAGGGATGGGATAGTTAATACCACACTAATTTGATGGGATTATTAATACTTCACTATTAGTGTTGTGAATTAAACATGGCCTTAGAGCATGTTTGATTGGAAGGATTAAAGTATGGGATTAGGATTATTAATTCGTGGGCCCAATCATCCTATGTTTGTTTTGACATTTTGGTTTAGGACTATTAATCCAATGGATAATTAATCCAACAAATTTGTAAGATTATTAGTAATGGGGTAGGGGTGGGATAGTTAATACCACACTAATTTGATAGGATTATTAATACCTCACTATTAGTATTGTGAATCAAACATGGCCTTATTTGTTGTTGTGTATCTATTTTCTTATGATTTGATGAGTCACTATCTAACTTTCAATGTTGGACTCTGGTGATGTCCCATGTCTGTCCGTACTTCTTAGATGTTGACCCATGTTATGTCTTTGTGATGACTTGAACATAGCTGCTGGTGACACAAAATGGATGTGAAAGAATGGTCACTAATAGGAAAATGCAATATTGTATGACTATGAAGCACGGGTACAGATACTAATATGATACGAGTATGTCGATATGGCAAAATCTAAAAAATGTAAGGTACGGATACGGCTTGATACGTTTGTAAAAAATTATTTATTTTTAATTTAGAATAATACAAAAATTGATTAAATGGTTTAATTTGTTAAGATTCAACTTACAATTAACATTTAATGCCACAAGTAAAGGTATAAATTAAAATTAAATGTCATTATATTAATAACTTACAAACCACAGCTTAATTTTATTTATAAGAGTAAACTACCAATAGATCCTAATAGTTGGACTTAATTCTCATAAAGTCCTATTGAAAATAAAACTTAGTACAATTGTCGTTAAAAATAATTTTGTGACAATTTTTTGCGTATGTTGCTAAAAATTGACAATTAGTGACTTTTTTTTGTCACGGTTTTTTTATAAGTTGTCACTAAAACTTACAATTAGTGACCTTTTTGTCATGAATTTTTCAAACTACCATTAAAAGTTGAAAATAAGTAACATTTTTTTTAAACTGTCGCTAAAACTTATAATTAGTGACATTTTTTGTGACAATTTTCAATCTATTGTTGAAATTAACAATTATTAACGTTTTTTAACAGTGTGTGATGAAAAATGTCATTAATTATAATATGACCTATTGGATAATAAATTCACTTACTAAGACCTAAACGTAAGTCTCCCATTTATAATCATGCTAAGCATAAAATTAAAAATAAAAAAAAAAAAGTCTAGAGAAAGAAATTTTATCTCTGTAGTAGAAGAAAATAGTGTTTCGACTGAGGTATGGTATAACTGGGAATATATTAGGTACGTTTGAATATACCAAAAATTTGAATACGTGTTTCGTGTATTCAATACGTATGCAGAGGTACACCATAGGAAGTACTATTTGCCGGTGAGTACCCGGTACTGGTACGGCATATTTGTCAAAGTACCCATGCTTCATAGTTGTATAACTATGTAGACAATACTAGGCCTTAGTCTTGAATGGATGGATATGAGGCCTTTGCTGTGAAAATAAATTAGATACGTGAATAAATTTTGCTCACTTGCTGTCCATAAAATGTGAAACAACATTACAATTTACAGCTACTTGATTTGAGAAAGTCTTCATATTTAAGAAGTTATTCTTTCTTGATTTCATCACCTATCTCATGGCGATTATTCTATTTTGTAGATATTTGGGGTCCTTGATGTGGAGAAAAAGGGTAGAATAACATTCAAGCAGGTGATAATCTCTCTTAGTTATACATGCGATCCCCAATTGGTCCCAACTTTGTCTGCACAAAGCCAATACAGAGCCTCTCATAGATGGAAAATCTATTGCTTGTAGTTCCTGTATGGGTCAGCTCATGCCATACAGCAACCACTTTCAGACGAGCCTGTGAATTAGCCTTCGCTGAGTGTCACACTGGTGGAAACCATTACATTTCTGAGCAAGAAGTATGTCTCATACTCTTTTCCTTGGTATTCCCTTTTATTTATTATACTTTTGGATAAGGTTTAAGTTGTGTACTCTTGGTTGGTTAATGGATGGCTCAGTGGGAGATTCCACTAAGCCAGCTATTCCAAACACAGACGAGTTTGAGGTGAGTAATCGACATCCTCATGGGTTCAATGGACATGTCAATCTAATCCATGCAATAACCTTAGAAATATAACCACAACAATATATTTTTCTTGAAATTCTTTTGAGCTGAAGCTTTGTTTTACTCTACATTTGTAGATCCATGAGCTACTCAAATCATTTGATACCGATAGCGATGGGAGGATCCACAAGGATGAATTTATCGCCTGTTTAAGAAGAAATCCGTTGCTTGTAGCACTTTTCTCTCCCCAGTTAATGCACAAGAACTTGTCTGGAGCCGATGATACATACGAGATTAAAGGAGATGGTATGATGGATGATGGGTTGATGAGTCTTCTTGTAGATTTGGCTCTATGAAACATTTTAGCTCTTTCACAGAGGGCTCAAGTGAGGAATAGGTTATTTGCATATAATTCTTTCTTTTGAAAATAGTCACTTAACTTCTTGTGGTTTGTTGAACAAAATATACCGTCTTCATGAAAATTAGCAATGTATTACACATGTCTACGTTTTCAAATAGTAAGGGATTATGTGCATATATAGGGTTACATTGAAGTGTTTAGTTTAGAAAATGTGATTATTTAAGTTTATTTACAAGTACTCATAAATTACAAGGAGTTAATTGTTTATTTTCAAATGACATGGGTATTATGTGCACATAACTTGTACTATAAAGGGATAAAGTGAAATATTCGCCTTTTTTCTTCTTCTTTTTACCCACTTAAGGTCCGGCCGGGTCCCAGTCCAGTGTTTTTTTTTTTTTTTTTTTTGAGGGGAGAGGGGATAAATTATAAATATGCTACTTGAAATTTGTCCTGAAATATAGTTTACTTGTGACTTTAGAAATTATAGTTTTCCTCTTGTCAAAATTAGTTTATTAACAGAGTTGACGAAAAAAAAAAAAAAAACTCTATTTTTTTCCCATAATTAACATTACCCTATTACCTATCTCCCTTTCCTTTGTTGTCAAACTTGTTCTTATTTTTCTTTCATTTCAAGCACTTTCTATCCTTGTCCCCCACTCTAGCACCCGACCCTGTCTCTCCTTCACAGCTACCATTGTAATTTCTTTAAATGGTTGGTGTACACCCCTTTCCCAGTCACCTCCACTCCCTTCCCTACTTTTGCAACTTGCTCACTCCCACTTGCACAATCCTTTTTTTAAACATTTTAATAGGGAAAATGCTATACACTTCAAATAATTTATTAAATTTTTTACTAAATCTCTCACATGAGTGTGGAATCCACATAAATCTACATGTGTGTGGGATTCACACAAACTCACATGTGTGTGGATCCCACACTCATGTAAGAAGTTTGATAAAAAAATTGATAAATTATTTGAAATCCCTGATATCACTCCTTTAATAGTGCTCTTGTATCAAAATCTAAATAATGAATCAAAATATTGGGAGTCATCTCCCTACTAATATAATCTTACCCACCACTCCTACCACTACTTGTTCTTGAAAAAGAAAATAATAATGAACAAATAATTATCAACCCCTCAGCCAAATAGATATTGGTTTAACATTCAACATAGACACTATTATTGTGATTTCAAAGAAAGAGACTTAGATATTTTTTTCCTTACTTTCTTGTATTTTAGTAAATGCTTTTGTGACTACTTTCTTCTTCCTTTGTGGGACCTACCATTATTGGGTTCACCCTCTACTTTCTTCTTTTGTGTTTGTCATTTTCATTCTTTTTATTATTATTTTTTTGGTTAATTAAAAAAAATTCTAAAGTTTCACACATTTTTCATTTTAAATCCCAATATTTCAATTTCAACAAATTAAACCCTGAAGTTCCATCCGTATTTTAATGTGCCCTTTCCTCCATCCATTTTCATCTGTGCAAGGTAACGAAAAATCGTTTTGAGATTTAAAGTAAAAAACACAAGAGTTTAAAGTGAAAAATGCATGAAACTTTAAAAAAAAATATTGTAATTAACCCTAATATTTAATTTCTTTTTGTGTGTGTATATATATAACTTACATATCTTATTGTATATATATATGTACACGTGTGCTTGTATATATTGTGAAATTTTTTATTCAAATTTTGACTCTTCTAATGATAAAATTTTGATTTAGTCCATACTATGTAAGAAGGGTTACCTGAGATATAAGAGGCACTTATCAATGTTTTGATGGATTAAGGATTAAAGCTATCTGATATGTAAGAGACGCTTATCAGCACTTTAATAGATTAATGTTTTTCTTAGTCATCAAAATTAGGAATGAAATCGAAATTTAACTCTCTCCGTCCAATATTGATAGTCCCTTTTTGAAAATTCAAATTTTAAATAATTAATTCCATAAGTACCCTTCTATTTCCATTTTAAATATATTTATAATTACTTTACAAGGGATAATTTTAAAAAAATTTAAATTCAAAATTGACTTTCCAAGTGGACATACATTTTGGAACAACAAAAAATGTAATAATGGACCAATAAAATAGGACAGAAAGAGTATCATCAGAAGAGCCAAAATTCGAATAAAAAAATTTCACCATATTTATATACAATAAGATACATAAGTTACATCTATACACACACACAAAAATATATATTAGGGTTAATTACAAAAAAAACCTTCAAAACTTGACACGTTTTTCACTTTAAACTCTAGTATTTTCACTTTGAACGTAAAACAATTCTCCGTTACCTTACACAGACAAAGATGAACAAAAGAAGCACATTGAAACATAAATCAAACTTTGAACTTTAACTTGTCTAAATTGAAATACTAGGATTTAAAATAAAAAAAATTAGTAAAACCTTAGATTTTTTTTTTGTTGTTGTAATTAATCCATTTTTTTTAGTTGTTCAGGATTTGGGCCTAGTTTGGGTAAAGCCTAACAAGTTTGGGCTGGACTGGGTTTCAAGGACAAAGAACTATATGCCTCTCTCTTAAATCTTTCTCATAATTTTTTAAATTGAACCTTTGAGATTTATTTAATCCTCTTAAAAATAAGATTTATTTGAAAGAAGTGATTTCATGAAGAGGATTGATTATATATATATATATATATATTCATGAATTTTTTTGAGAAAAATATTTATATATGATTTATTTTAGGTTAAATCATATTGTTTTTGAAAATATATTTTGCCTACTACTCATTTATTTGTATTAAAAAATAATTTCAAGTAAGAATATCAAATTTTGTTAAAGCTACAATTGGGAGGAGGAAGCCCGAATCTCCACATTATCAGTGGGCATCTTCAACTAATTGATGTGTCATCAATGAACTGATTTAATAAATCATCTTTCATGTCTTATAACAAATACATTAGTGACACAAACATAATCTAAAATTTAGTCACCGCAACATAACTGAAATTGAAATTATCCAAACAAGCAATTATTAATACAGTTGACAAACAAAAAGGAATCCAAACATGCAACAAGTTCCTAGTGATGAACATCCAATGCAATCAGACAATCAATTAATCTACACATTTTCTCACAAAAACAGTTTCTCCATATGTAGCATCATATCATTTTGACCATTTGCATCATACAGCATGATCAAAACTAACAGCTAAGAAAGTACTCTAAGATTATGGAATGCAATGTGATTAATGAGATAAGAAAGTCCTTTTAGACAATTTTACGAGGGCCTACCAAAATTTATCATATGGTAATACAATTGAAGAAAGAAAAAGAACAGTCGCATGAAAGGGGCATTATCAAAACAAAGATGTCCATGTGACTGATCAACAAATGTGTCTGCTATTGCCACTAATTTTGCTATATTTCTGTACAATTTATACCAAAGGGTTCAAGTAAACTGCTGTACAATTCTTTGTGACCTGGTTTTTAATATTATTATGTTAGTTCTTATATTTGGGTGATGGGCTATATTACCAGTGTTCCTTTAGTGATTTGATTATCATCTGAAGAATCAAAGGGTTGAGATTTGGGTTTACTCACAATTCGAGAGTATCCATAACCGAGAGAGCTTCCACTTGCTTCAAAGAGCTGCATGCAATATTTTATTGTGGTAACTCAGTCAAAATCCAGATGAAAAAAAAAAATACATATATATATATATCTTTGGGCCTATACTAACAAGACTAACCGAATTATGAAAATCAAACATTAATAAGCACCTTGGCAAGCTCAAAAAGATGGCGGGACCTAAACTCATTGATAGTAGCTTTTATTTCTGACATGGGCAGTTTAGCCTAACAAGGAAAAACAAGATAAAGTAAGAACATTTGAAAGATGCCAAACCAAAATAACCAAACTTCTATAATGTTTTTGACTTTCCATAGCACATGCTAACAATTTCACAAGCAAGCATCAACCAACGAGCTGAGTAGAGCCAAATTTTAGTATGTTTGGATTTATTTATTAAGATTTTAACGAGTTTGAGATTGAGCTCGAGCTTAATAAAAATTTAACAAACAGAGCTCGAGCCGAGTTGACTTAGGCTTGACTCGAGCTTAAGCCTGTTTACGAGGCTTAACGAACCAAAAAATTTATAAATTTATACTAAAGTTACAATTAAAATTTTGATTATATAATTATATATACAATATATATAAATATATTAAAAAAAGTCAATATTTTTTTAAAATAATAATATTTACCACCACTATTGTATAAATGTACTATAGTTAACTATTATTTACATTTATATTTTTTAAATATATAAATAACATATTTATCTTATTTTTTATACATATTTTTATATTATTTAATATATAAATAATAAATATTAAACGAACCAGCTAACGAGCCGAGTTTTAGAATGTTTGGGTTTGTTTAGTAAAAATTTAACGAACTCGAGCTCGAACGCAAAAAAAATTAACGAACCGAGTTCGAACAAGCTTTTATCGAGCCGAGCTTGAACCTGTTCACAAACAGCTCTGTTCATTTGCAGTCCTAGCAACTAAGAAGCATGGATACAGACACGTGACACGACACAGATACGACACGGACACACCGACACGTTAATTTTCAAAAAAATGCAAGACACGACACGTGAGGGACACGCATGAAATATATAATTTTATATGTTTAGTATATAAAATATATATAAATATATCATTAAAAGATAATAAAAAATGCAATATGACACTAATTCTTATAAATTTATATGGGTTTTGTTTTATTATTGTATCTTAAGTTGTTTTGTTCAAATTTATATTTAGTTTCACATGTGTCTAATCGATAGACATGTGTGTTTAAGCGATTGACACGTGTGTCGTCCAAGTATCCAAAGAGTGTCTAGGTCTTTAAAAAAATTTAAAAAATAGAACACGTTTTGAAGAGTGTCAGACACATGTCCTAAGAGTGTCCAAAGAGTGTCAGTCTCCGACACGGATACGTCACCTTCTTAAAAGTGTCATTGCTTCTTAGCCTAGCAATAACAAGAGTTTGAGTTGCTGCGTTGCAGCTTGCAGATCCACAAGATCAAATCCAAATGCCTTCAGTTTTCAATGTGTTAACTGAGTCAAATGTGTTTGTGTGTGTGTATGTCACGTGAAAGTGAAATTATATCATATAAATCACAAAACACTTCAGAGAAGCAACAGCCGCTTCTGCTTTACAATCAGAGAACCAGCATGGACATAAAACAGGTGCTCAACAAGGAAGACGGTGTACACAAATAGTTGAATTGAGACTTAAAAGGTAAGCATGTAGCAAGTCACTAATGCAAATTAAAATATCCAATAAGATGCACTGTAATCATTAAGATTGTAGCAAAAAGCGATTAATCTTACAGTGATTTTATGGAATGTTAAAAATTGATCAATTACATTTCGTATTAGCATAGCATGGTGAGTGACAAATTCAATGGAAATAATATTCAACTTCCTTATGATTTGTTACAATCGGACTCAACACTACATGCATGCAACCAATTACCGATGCTTAGCAAAAAAAGAAAATAGTATTCATCAATATAACTTAGGCAGTATGTACTAAACATGAACAACATACATAGCTCATGCAGTGAAAAATCTTATACAATTCAGTGTCATCGATTCTGTTTTTACCTGTGCAAGAACAGCAGCAGCTAGTTGGAGACTAGGTTCCAAGGTCTCGGGGACGACCTGTAAGAGTTTCAACTAAAACTCAAGATATGATGTAATTTGAACAAAAATTTGATCTTTTATATAGATAATGCAAGATATATTAATACTGATAAAAGATTTATACACAAGTCAAACAAGAATAATGAGCTCCTAAAACATAATCTTAAAATAAAATTGTAAGATTAACCTATATAGGCAATTAGGAACAGTGAAATAACTAATGAAAACAGCAACAGAAATGTACCGCTGTTGCTCCCGCCTTTTCCAAATTGAGGCCATGATCAACGTCATGAGCACGGACAAATGTCTTGACATTAGGGAAATACTTGCTCAAAGCCCACACGGTTCTATAGTTTGCACCAGGGTTATCTAAAGTTATTGCTGCTGTACATGCTCTTTCAGCAGCAAACTTTATGGAGCACCTGGTGGCCAGGAATACGAGCAACATGTCAGACAATGAACCTGCACAAAGCATATTTAAGTTTGAGCAGGATCATCTATACCTCTCGACTACCAGCATCACCAAAATACAGGGGAAGATCAAGTGCACGGCCAACTGCTACTCAGTCACTGAAATGATGGAAAATCTAAAATCAGTTATCTGGATGCTGTTGTAAAATATTCTCATAACCATTAACACATTCTCAGTAAGTCATGGACATGGTACCTTTCCTTTTTTCCAATTTGCATTTATGTTAAAATGTTCACAGAGATTCAGGGAATATAAGTAAACATAGGAAAATATGGAACCAAAGGCTGGATAATCCTGGATATTCACTTCATAGACTCAAAATCCCCATGTTGTCCTCAGCAAGTAATACTAGATTTTATCATAAAAAATGGACATCATAAAAAAACAAAGGCAGCATACCCCCAGAACAGAACTACATGATATAGTCTTCAAACTGGCATAGATTACCCAAAAGGAACTAGCTAGAAAACTCACACAGCCCACACTCATATGACTAAGATTTTCAGCAAAACATTCAATCAGCAATCCCTTCTCTCTCTCAGCCCCAAAATTGACTTTATTCCAGGAATATCAATTCATTGTGATGGAAGCATACCTCCTCACATCAAGAGCAACAAATGGAATAAGTCGTTCTGAAAGAAGCTGCGCAATGATCTGAAAGAACAACAGAAAGAAATACTACTCTTAGACAAAACATGATGCATACATCCATACTTAAACTACATTATTTTTTGGGGTGAGAATCTATAAATAAACTACATTAAAAATAGATCCACCACAACAAATGATCTAAAACAAATTCATCAAAAAAAAAAAAATGCAAATAGTGACAATAGCTGGCCAACGCATCCAAATGGCAACCAGTGGTTCTTCACCACTTTCATCCATCATCATCAAATATTTGTGCATCAACTCAAAATGGCAAGACTTCAAGAAGGAATATAAACACAAAATACCAAATGCAAGCGAGTAAGTGTTTACCAAAGATTTCTCAAATGAATAAGCAAAGTGAGTTTATTGAAACCTACTATCAAAACAAAATTCATACACATACACAGTTCAAAATTAAAAAGGCTTCATGATGTTGACAGAGAGGCTTTCGAGAGCACATCATAAATATTTCCCCACATTCTGGTGCAATAACTAATAAAAATGCTTATAATACAATTTTTTTTTTCTTCTTTTTTTGGGTACAAAAATGGATATGCAAATAGGCTACTTCAACATATACGCCAGGGAGTATTGCCATTTAGCACGTACAGCATATCTGCAAAGAACCCCACCACACCTACGTCCGGGCCGAAGCTTAGGCCACCCGCGTGGTCCAGGCACTAAAGAGTATGTTTAGCTCCAACAAGAGGCTATGGAGACTCGAACCCAAGCCTTAAGCGAGGGATTCAAAGGTCTTATCTACTGAACCAACGGTTGTTGGTCATACAACAAAAAAAATAAAATAAAATAAAAATACAATTTTTTATTTTTTTTTGATTTGCACCTCCCATGATATAGTTAGAATGATCACTAGAAAATCTATGCTTCATTTTCCTAACCAAGCTGAGTTTGAAAAGCTAAGCTACCCAGTAAGCCAATCCTGATTGACAAATCATATCCATAACTAACATAGTACCAATAAACTACAAATTATTATCTAGTGGAAATAAATAAATAAAGGAACTGAATTCTGTAAACCACCAATATAAATGCTCACTCAGATATCATCGAACTTGAAATTATGAATTCTACCTCACTCTCTACAGGTAACAAACTCCACACATCATGCAGCTCAAAACGAGAGGCTAGTAACTGGCCTCCAGCAGCTAACCATGGGCTGAGGGCCATTGATACCCCTACCACAAGAAACAGCAAAGATGACATCTGACAAGACATTATACCCTGCAAAAAAGGCCAATTAGCAAACAATTAGTTGTGCTAGCAATACTAATGGCAATAGTTACCATTCATATTGTTTTGTTTTATTTATCTAGTGTGGGAATACCAGTCCTGCACAGTTTATTTATCTACTCTTATGTATTGAAGTTCACAAAAACATATATATATGCATGTGTGTGTGTGTGTGTGTGTGTGTGTGTGTTGAAAAAGAGGAATTGAAAGGGGAAAAAAAGACCTAAGATAATAAAAGGATAGCATGAATTTCAGTCAATAATACTGGCTTCCATTCAATGCACCACCACAGATTTGCTTCGACTCCCATTCACAAAATCAAACTCTCAACAACAATCCAGTCCTATGATCCTTTAAACATAAAAGAACCTAAGGTTCACCCAATCTTGGTGGCCTATGTAACTTTGTCTAAATAAAACCCACATCATTTTTAGACCTTACAATGCTAAACTGACCTAAATTTAGTACTATATCACTTTCATATACTTTTGAACAAGTATTAAGTACGTGTGCTGGTGCATTCTACTAATCAAAGACAAATGATATGGCATATCATCATTGCATAATGGATAACTCGGATATGGGTGTAAGGTGCAGGTATGTGTCTAGGTGTCGGATTTATCTAATTCTCATGTCCAAGGACACCACAACATGACTAGATTTCATATTTCTTAAACATTTGTTTGTTTTGTATTTTTTTATTATAGAATGGCATTTGCAACCAAAAATTGTTATGAATGAAACGAAGGTCTAATGCATAGTGATATAGTAAACTCAAACCATTTAGACATTCTTGTTTGCTACATGTCCAACTATACATGTTGGATGCATTTCACATACGGAACCCTTACCCTTACACACGTGGCATGTCTATGTATTGGACACATCATATGGCTTGTCAAATTATTAATTATTATTTTTTGCAAGACATGTTGGGAACACTTCACGGACACACTTCCTATATCTAGACAAGTCTCTTAGAAAACTGATTTGGGGCCAAAGTAAATATATAGAAATTGATGCTTCTCATATCTTTGTGCCCTAACTTAATATTCATATACATAGCAAATAAAAATATATATAAAATAAATAAATAATTCATATCCCCCATGTTCATATCTTAATTTTTGTGAAAATTCCATGTCCCATGTCCGTACTCATGTCCAGGTCTCTTAGGCTGCCACTATGAAACCTAAAAGGATACACGAAAGCATCTTTCAAACTCAAAGATAGTAGAAGACTATCTAGAATGATTTGCAATAATAATAATAATGTGTCACAAACACAACTAAGATATCAAATCCATTCATACATTAGCACCTTCTTAATAAGCCAACCAAATGGAAAACCACAAATATAAATTTTTTACTTTAAGCTCATATGACGGAAATCCATCTCTTGGGCTGTGTTTAGATCATGGATTTGGGTTTTCAAATCTCAACCCAAATCCATGATCCAAACAGAGTCTTAGTGGATGCATAATACACATGGAAAATCATGGGTGCCTAAAATTTTGGATTTTAAGTTTTAGGAGACCTAAACCTCCAAGATTGTCCTAAAATGAATTTTCCTTCAGTATCAACTTCAAGGTGAATATACAATGCACACACCTTTTAGCTATGACATGTATGCGCATATGTGCACATTTAAACAAGTAATTTATGTCTCACCAACTATGAATCCTATTATATGGATTACAAACCCTAATGCATTTGTAACCACAATATACATTGATATTCTATACATGTGATTCTCATGTTCGCCTAGTTACAAACCAAATATTAGCCCATAAAAAGACAAAATAGGCTAAAATAACTAATGAGACAAAATTTCATATCAAACCCATAATCATTTCATTTTTTCTCTCACAAACACCATATTCAAGTACAAAAAAATCCAATCATCTTCTTAAACACACAAATTTTAGCCCATTAAATAGCCTACTAAAATAGCAACTTCCCAAACAAGTGTAATACGTGTTTAGGAGGAGAAATCAGACAATAAAATTTGCAAGAAAAATATTTGGTTCATAGAGAGGAAAACCTGATTAACAGCTTCACCAAAAGCCACGAATGCAAACTCTCCACCCGGAGCAAGTAGAAGGCCAACTCTTATCACAGATATGATTGAAATACCAAAAAGTCTACCTACTACAGCAATATCCCCAGCCAGTTCACCATGCAAAGCCTTGCAATACATATACAATACAACACAAAGAAGCCAAATTCTGAAGCAAAAACATAGCCACAATACTCGAACCCATCACAATCTGAAGAACAAAAGATGAGCACTTCCACACATCACTGAAACCGCCTAAGAAAGTCCCCAAGCAAGCCTACACAACCCTAATCACAGCCCCAAAAAATAGCATTAAATACAACGAAACTAGTTTCATCCCCTTCATCAAATACGTGCTCCGCCACAACGGCTCGAGCCCGCATTTCGATTCCACCACGACAATCACACACGCCAATGCCCAATTCACTTGCAAACGAACTAAGACCAGTAACAAAATCACTGAAACCACAACACAAAAATCCAGAAAATAATTCGAATTGTAATCAACATCAAACCTTAGAATCTCAACCAGTTGGGCACCAAAATCACAAAAGAGGCAAAAACTACAGAGACGACGATTTAAGGGACGACTGTTGTGATGGCGAGGGGGATGAAGGAATAGAATAGGGATATGATGGCGGAGGCGAATTTGACAGGTCTACCGTACAAGTCGTGGTAAGTGATGTGGGTGATTGTGCTTATTGCGTAGAGAGAGAATAGGGAGACAAAGAGGATGAAGATGAGGGGGAGAGCTAGGGTGTGGAGAGAGTAATCAGAGATTTGGGTTGGGTGGGAGGGGAGCATTCGGATTTGTTTGGGTTGGGATTGAGAGAGAGTAGTTTGGAAAGTTGGGTAGATGATGATAGAGAAAGAGATGGGGAAGAGGAAGAGGATTGTGAGGGCGAGGAAGTGGCAAGAGTGGGCTTTGATGATTCATTTTGATTCAAAGAGGCCTCCCAAGAAGTTGTGGGTTGGGGCTAGGGTTGCCATGGGAGGTGAGCTTTAGAGAGAGAAAGGAGAGAGAGAGAGAGAGAGCATGTCTAGTGGTCGAATCAAACGACTAGGTGTAAAATATTTGGGGGGTATTTTTGACGTTTTGGGTTAATTTGACAGCACAGTTAAAAATTAAAAGTTAATTTTTAATCTATTTTTAATCCTATCTTCTTTCATATTTTTTATACGGTTTTTTAAAAAAAATTAAAAAATTAATTTTTAACCATCTTCTCAAAACACTAATTTGTTTCTTCTGTCAAGTAAGTTTAAAATTGCACTGTAATATGAAATTTTGAAGGTTTAAATAGTGCAAATGAAACTATAAGACCATCTCCAATGTTGTATCAAATTGAGCATCAAATTTGAATTTGATGAAAAAAATCATTTTTTCTCTCTTTAATGGTTTCACTAAACTGATATCAAAATGAGAACCGAGCAAAAGTTTTATAAAATTGAGAATTCGCGTGAGATTTCACCTTTTTACTGTTCAGTAACGTTGGAGTGGGGCCCCCAGTCAACCGGCCTGACATCCGGTCTACTTCAATTTTTGATTGGCCTGCGAATTGGTTGAAATCTGACAAAGGAAATGTTGATTTTCTACCCTTCAACAAACTGACTACTCACGATGATGATGATGTAATCCCACAATCGAAACCTGGGTAACTATTTGTTCTTTCCCAATAAACTAATTAGTCTTAAGAGCTTTCTTTCTTGAATTTCTTAAATCTTTTGTGTCTGTATACGAATGCAAGTTTATATACACGCATATACAATATGTTAAAAAAATTGCTTGCATGCAAATTGCATTGAAGAATAACAAATTTGTTTATCAGTTAAGTATACTGTGAGTTTTTTCATTCCAATTCCTTCCCTTTTCTCGGCTACCAAAGAGAGACCTGGGGTTTTCACCTTTGTGATCTTTCTTTTACTATCTTTTGCACTCATTCAATGATAAAGAGTCACTAACAAATTAATTTGTTGAAGTAAGTCCTGGTGTTTTTTGTTTCATATAGCCTTTTTGTCTCATTTGCAGAATCAACATTTCCTGATTGAATTTGTCATAGGAGAGGAATCCGAGACCAACTACCTTATTCATGAATTCAAGCAGGAAAAAAAAATAAAAAAAAATGAGTTGCCTACCCGGTCGACCGACCTGTCGATCCACTGGACGCCCCATTCGCTTTGATGCACGTTACAGTAAAATGATTGAAGCTGCTCGTATCAGATTGAAAAAATTACATTTTTTTTACTCAAATTTGGTGAAAAATTTACTGAACCGTTAGAAATGCTCTAAAGGGTTTCTAGTTTTTTCATCAAACCACAAGAGGCTAATGCAATTTATTTATTTATTTATTTTTACCTCATAAAAAAATTAAAAATTTGTTAAAATACCCAATTCTCAAACGGAAAGACTATATTTAATTAAGAGATTTAAGAAACACATCCTAAAAAATCTTAAATTTGGGTTCAACTCGAAGAATTCAGTGTAAGTTTAAATTGTCCAAATTCAAATATAACCATCGGCTGGAGCAAAGAAATTTGTTGAGAAGAACGTGGGTTCTCAGGCCATAGATGAACCAGGTTCGTCCTCTAAACTCGGAAATCTAATTTTAAATTCAGATTAAAAAGTTAAGGTTGTGATTGAAAAGATAGATTTGAAATTTCAAAATTAGAACTTTGATTTGGGATTCCAACAGGCAAAAATTAGGGCTTTGATTTGGGTTTTCTTGACTTGATTATTTGTAGTGCTATGAACTTGTGTATTTTGATTATGATGTGTACTAGACAATTATCTATACTTAAAAAATGCCAGTATTACAAGAAGATAGCAGAGATATGAGGTGTAGTCATTACCTAGTTATTATGAATTTTATGAAATTGATACAGATTTAAGTGATTTTTACTCAAATTGTGTAAAATGGCTGTAGATGCCCTAAGATGATCATGTTCCCACACTAAGCAAAAGTTGACTCTCTGTATCATTACTAGCACCCTTTTCTATTCGACACTGTAAATAGTTTTCATGGCACGGAGAAAACAAAGGTTAGTTTTAGTGCAAAGTTTAAGCCATATCAACATGAATCATCAATGCCATTAAAGTTGTTCTACTTTTCACTGAAAGAATAAATATCAAAATATATTAGTTTACCCAAAGACAAGCTTCTAGGGCAGCTGTCAACTTAAGCAACCAACTCATATGTATTACACCTCCTGTTTTGGGTGGATTTAAATTATGGTTTCAGCTTTAATTGGCTAACATATGGCAGACAACTTAAGCAACCAACTAAGTTGGTTTCAACTTAAGCAACCAACTCCTATGTATTACTGTATCATTGGCTAATTTTATGTCAATTAAGTTGTGAATGATATAATTGCAACTAACCGTGCAGACACCTTGGACCCAACACTTTTATGCCCTTTTTTGAGTTTGAATTCCCCTAAAAGAGGCTTGTTTTTCAGGTCAGTTGTCTTTTGGCATTTGAAACATCCTTCTTATTAAAGTATCTTTAATTTTTCTGTCAATTTGAAAGCTATAACTACATCTCTAGCATACTTTGCTTGATTCTGTGGTTATCAATTTGTAAATTGTGGGACTATCTCTCTCTCTCTGAGTTATGACAACCTAGCTTGATCTTGACATGGGAAATCAGCTCTAATTATGCATACTACTTAACGTGCCTCAACTTGGATCTCGTACTTGTTAATTATTTTTTGAACCTATAGTACTTAAGACCTTCTACCTTTCCCAGGTAAAAATAGATGCAACCAGGAAAGAAAATATGGCTAGCTAAACTAATTCCCAAGCCAGCATGACAACCAAGACAATTCTCAAATTAGTGTAAGAACTATATGACCAAATAGACCCCATTTGTACTAGTTTCCAAAAATATTGTGATTGTGTTGGGCAGAGTTTATTCCGACAGGAAAAATAAACAATTCCATTAATAAATAAAAAGGAGGATTCTAAAATAGTAGCAAACGTTTTTATCTGGTAAAATCAATACACTTACCAATTTAAAAAATCAAAGAGAGACATTTGGAGGAATTAGACTTGCACAAACATTAAAGAATCATATTGCAGTTCACTCGACGAACAATATAATGTCAGGATGTGTGTGATATGCTATAGATGTCTTTATCAATTTCTGAAAAATGTGGCTGTGATCCTTAGTTGTGGGATTGTTTGTAGCATTTTGGCTTTGATGAATGGATTGAATGATTTTAGATGGTTTTGATGAATGAAAATTTGATGAATGTAGTTATGGATTTTATGATTATATGATTATAGAACTTGTAATGTGTGATGGTGAGTGTGTATTGATTGATGCTGTTAGGCCAATGCTTATCAATTGATCCAGGAAATGCCTATGAAAAAGGTCACATGCACGCATGTTTTCGGTGTCTCCTTGCTATTTGGTTCAATGTTACTTGGCCCAGATCTCAATCAACATCTGTGAAGGTGGTACATGAACACAATCTGTCCAGAGTAATAGGAAATCAGCCACTCAATTTAACATGAAATCTGCCCACAGCACTAATGAAAGAAAAATTAGTATCACCCCCATAAACAAACTCCAACATTTTTTTTCAAAAAAATAAAAATAAAAATACAAGTAAATTATACAAGAATGAACACCAATCTATGTCATTTTACGTGATTGAACACCAAAACAGTGTGAATAATGCTGGTATATGTTACATAGCAGGCAAGAGACCATCCCGAGCCATCTTTTGCAACAACCCATATGCTTCTTCCAAATTGCCCACTTTACACAATCCATCCACGATAACATTATGGGTAATCAAGTCGGGTGGAAACCCCTTTGCTGCACCTAATTTCGTATATCTGAAAGAATATATAGACATATGCGACCAACAAAAAAAAGAAAGAATATATAGACATGGTAGAAGTGCACATAAAATTCGTCCATTCAAAGATCAACAAAAGAAAGGATGAAGTTTGTCCAAATTGTAAATACAAGCCAAGATATAACTCTGGTCAATGTTACATGGACTGTTCAATACTAAATGTACATCGTCACCTAAAAACATCTTATGTCACAACAGCATCAACAACATTAAAAACACACAGAAGCAAATTTTCATACAACGTTTTCAGCAACATTAAAAAAATAAAAAATAAATAAAAAAATTCAGTTATGAGGAACATTTTCAACAATATTTTCTACAACATGAACAGCAACAGTTTCAACAACTTTTTCAGCAACATTAAGGAAGAAACTTTCATTTATGAGCTGCTATAACTAAAATTTCTAATGCATTCCACCTCTTTGTGCCTATTGATAGTCTAAAAAAAAAAAAAAAGAAAGAAAACACAGCAGCAAACTGTATTTTCCAAAAAAAAAATATATATATATTAAAAACACACAATGGATAGAACAAAGGGGCAAACTCAATGCACATAAAATGTAATAACAATCTAATTTAAGATAAAATCGAGCCTCACAACCAGTCTTAGTTTCAGCTCTAGGTTTTTTGGTCAATGGGTCTCGCTTGTCAACCTTCCGAAATCTCTCCTTGTTGCAAACCAAAATTCTAGAAATAAGTTGGCTAGTAAACTTGTTCTCGCTACAATAATCCCTTCTTATGCTAAACCTCATTCTTCCTCCATATATGTATTATAAAAATCAGAGCACCTTGTTCTGAATCAAATGTCATTCCCTCGTTTGGCTTCCAAGTACAATCATTCTTTGATTCCATATCCATATCAAAATGCAACTGAAAAGTCATATAAATCAAATGTTAGCTACAAAATAAGTCATATAAGTTATATCTGCTACAGGAAAAAATGTTATATCTGCTACAGAAAAAAATAAAAAATAAAAAATAAACAATTCCATCCTTAATCATTGTGAGAAAAATGAAAAGAAGAGGTAAGTCAAAACAGACATTGGTTGAGGTCATGATAAAAGTGAAGGTTACTTGAATGCTGACTGAAACTATGGCTTTGGATAAAGGCAATACAAAAAAGGCCAACCCAATTCAACAAGCCTTCATCATATTTACCAGGATCAACTACATCGTTTTCA